TTATGTGATTCTCAAAAACATTTAATTTATTACTACGTTTAAAAAATTAAACATATTTTACGTTAAATAACTTGATACATCACCATGCATGTTTATTTAGAACATACGGTATGTGTAACATTAAATACATATAATTAACTATTTTTTGATCTTTTACTTTCACCCTCTCTCCCTCTCGTTGTCTTTGTCCGATTATATAAAGAACACTTCACCCTGTTCCCTGAATTCTGACTTCACCCCAACGTTGGCTCAACGTTGTCTACCCAACTAAATGTATCAAAATACGGACGTAATTCACAATGTTGGCCCAACGTTGGGCCATCGTTGTACTCCCAACAAACTTCGTCAACTTAGTGGTGACAAGATAACAACAGTGGCCCAACGTTGGGCCAACGTTGTGTCCCCAATCAACCTCGGCTTCTAAGTAAAATAGTGTTATGTTGACATTGGCCCAACGTCGGGCCAACGTTGTACACCCAACGCCAACCATCGGCCAACGGTCCAACCATTAGCCAACGTTGGGCCAACGTAGTCATGCTATCTGGGATTAATGTCAAAATAAAATGTAAGGCTAAGCAATGAGTCCAAGCGATAGTATATGAGCGCATTGACTGATCTTAGTTGAATATCAACTCATCTCAGTCAACTGAGATGTATAAGGGTCTGTAAATTTAGGTGCATTTATTTCGATACAGCAAATTTATAACGCACAAATTGTTTTCAAACTTCCTGGCTAAAAAAAAAAAATTAGGATTCTTATATTTAATGAAATTAAAAACTAAGATATCATCTGAAAAGGGAAGATTAAATACCATTATTAAGATGCAGGTTGATAGACGTTAACAACTCTTGCTAAAATGAAGCATGTTTGACCAAACAGTACGTGACACATGAAAAAACAATATTACAAACAAAAAATGTTGAAATATATCAATAAAATTTAAAACAGGATCCATGCGTTACTAAGCAAGATTTTCAGCCAGTTTTATATTATTGTTGAAAGTGTTTGACGTTCTTCACTCCATGTCTTTCGGTTATAAAATTCACGAAGTCGTGTTAACAATCCTTATCGTACATTTTCTTGGAAAATTGATTTAACACACGATAACAATATTTACAATTCTCATAAGAACTAATTACAACCAACCAAACAAAAATCGCAAAAAATATGTAATTAAGAAAAATACTCCTTGAAACTTTAGATTTATCTGTTTAATGTGATGGACATATTTAATTTCCTATAAAAAGTATAATTTCAATGAAGAGCATGCAAGGTAAATCAAAGAAAGCATCCATTTGAACATGAATATTTTTCCCCAGTTTATATTCATATTAGCATTGTGACATCATAACAGTTTCATGTTTAGGTTTAGCTATATGCAATTTTATTGTGAAATTTTGGTCTTTATTTTTACGAACAATGTTTTTTTGTTTTTTTTTTTTTTTATTTTTTATTAAGAATGTATTTTTAAAAAAAATACAAGAAAAGATTTTATAAATATAAAAGTTCTTAGATTTTACAATAAAATTATTGATAAATAATTGAAAACTGGCAAATTGCAATTACTCAAGGGATAATGAAACAGGATGATATCAGGTATAAGTATCAAAATTACACGTAAGGCTTAGCAATGATAGCAAGCGATAGAATAAACAACATTGACGGATTTTAATTGAAAATCCATTCACATCAGTCCGTTGCAATTTGTTATCAGTAAGTGATCTGGTCATGACATGTGTTTATATACTTAAGACGAATTTATTTGAACTTCCAAGTTAAAAATTCATGATTCTGATACTAATGAAATAAAAACCTGAGATACCATCTAGAAATGGGAAATTAAATACTATGATTAAGATTCACTCGGTTGACGTTCACAACTCTTGCTAAACATGAAGTATATATGCTTGATCAAAAAAGTACGTGACACATGGGGAGAAAAGCGATATTACAAATAAAAGATATGTTGAAATATATCAATAAACTATAAACACATTAAGCAAGATTTTTACCCAGTTTTATATACTTGTTGTATATCATAAAATTTATGGTCATTATAATGACCTTGTTCGCAAATATAACCTATCATTGGATTGTGTTTTGGCTGACGTGTTTCATACCAATTATTAGATTTTTGTTTTAATAATGAATTTTACTACGGAATGTTCCATCTACCTGATCAATACAGAGGGCTCACGGCGGGTGTGATAGGTAAACAGGGGATGCTTACTACTCCTAAGCACCTGATCCCACCTGGAATTTTCATGGAGCCGTGTTTTATTTCCCTCTTCACAGATATTTATTGTTTATAGATTTTTTTTTGGAGATCGATCACTGTTCATTATCTTCACTGTTTTTATTGAAAGTATTTGACGTTGTTCACTCACAGTCTTTTATTTATAAAATTCACGAAATCTTGTTCACAATCATTATTGTTTGATTCAAAAAAATGTCGACACTATTTTCAATTTCACCCCCCCCCCCCAAAAAAAAATAAATAAAAAAAATAACGAGAAAAAGGGACTGTGCCAATTAAGAAGAAGGAGGAAATATAATTTACAGGTTGTTCGTATCAGTATCCTCTAATTTAACGAAGGTCTAAATCTAGGTGATAGGTCAAACAAGTCAGATACATACATCCGGGGTTTATATCCTATATGTAGGATGTTATCATCCGAAGATATTTCTAACGGATTTGACTAGTACATAGACAATCAAGTTAGATCCAGAAAGTTTAAGACAGTTTAAATTATAAAACTTGACTTTTTCATCTGATACATGTAATCATTCCAAAAGGATAGTAATTTAACTTACCTAATTTAGACTTCGTAAAATTATTCATTATTTTCCTTCCTCTGCACTCAGTTGATAACCCTTATACTGTGTTTGCATTGATTTATCAATGTAGGAGTTGATAAGTTATAGATATGAATTTATATTGTGCAGTCTTAATGGTTCAGTAATATTGTAATATCACAGTTTGTATTCTAGTTTATACACGGCTTTATACAATGAAATAAATGATATTTGTATGTAAGCATAATTTGTTAATTTGAGGGCATTGTCATACTGTTTTAAAACAGGCCAAGCATCTTTATCAACTGTTTAAATTATTGTAACAAAAACATACCATCCCTGACGCATACCTGGGTTATATTGTCTCTCTTTGACAAACAAATGCCATACTTAAAAAGAAGTTTCAAATTTTAGCGTTTTCAAGATATAACATTGTTAGAATTGCCATTGATGTTTAAGATGTGAATTGCACAATATACATTATGGTTTTTATTTATATTTGCATAAGCCATACATCAACGATACAACTATTGTTCACTGCAACAGATAATGAACCCCGATTTGCGACATAATTCAGCACTTGACAATTTCACTCCTTTGTTTATCATCTGTGATGGCGTAATCAGTATCGTGGTGTTCATGTACTGAGCTAACAAACTGTTCACACTAAATGCTGTAAAATTACAACAAACGCACAAGCTTGACATCTATGCTTATTCACTTTATTCGGATCAGGCATCGCGGTCAATTTTATACTGTCGACAGGGCAGGTATGATTCATTTTGTGACACTTGCGAAATGTTACCTAGTTTATTCAATTTAGCATCCTTACACTCTTGATAAATAAATAAAAAAAAAAAACCTAGATGATTCTTAAAATTTTATTTAAATGGTATGTAAATAATGGAAACATATATTTTATGCAATTATAAACGTGAAGTCAACAATTTTGGTGTTTACCAAAACCTCGTTTATAAATAAATGGATTGATGAGGATTCTATGTTATTTTATGTTAAATAAGTGTCGTGGTCCTATCTTGACTAAAGTGGGCTTACCTAAGGCAATCAGAAGTTAGAAGGTTATTCCCTATTCCCTTTTGACTATTCGAATGGCGAACCGGATGCTGCTACCGGTTTCCTATTCAAATTACCGTAAGTGTCCTAATAATTTAAAAAAAAAAACAACTTGAATAACTCATTATAATACATGTTAAAGAAGCAAATCAAAGACATCACTTAAAAAAGAAGAGTGAGGACCCCAAACCAACGTAGCTAGCTTGACCAAAATGATGACAATGGATAGAAAACTTTGAACCAGGAGCTGGTTAACACCCTGGATCCCATATTTAGATCTTCATATTTTTACAGAGGAGGGGACTGGGAAGGACCCCTTGACTTTCAAAAGGAATTGAGTTTACAAGAGCGGTAGCCCTAATGCTGTTCATGTTTAATCCATGTGGATGCTTGCATTAATTATTTTTACTTTTAATAAAATATGGAGATAACGAACAGTAACAAATGTAAAAAAAAAAAAAAAAAAAAAAAAAAAAAAAAAAAAAAACCATTGAAAAAATACAAATCGGGAGCAGGGCAAATACGGATTTCTTTAAAAAAAATCTGAGGTAGGATCAGGTGCCATGGAGGAGTAAGCATCCGCTATCGACCAGTCACACCCGTCGTGTGCTCCTTGTCTTGATCTGGCAAATGGAAAATTTAACGACAGAGAGAACAATTCCTACTCATTTAAAATACATATACATTTATTGATTACAAAATAGCCCACAAAATAAATAATGTTCATAAAAATAAGAATAAATTCCGGAGTAGATATTATAAAGTACTTTACATACTTATACCGTGGTATTTTGTTATCTCTTCTCTAAATTGTCTCATAAAAATTGTTTTTAAAATTTCTATTCTGAAGAAAGTCATTATAAATAAATAAAATGTGAATTAACATAAAAACTGCTACACATGTACATATTCTTAACTGAACTGTTAAACGAGGATTACGGATCTGTGCTAGTTATCTCTGATTTGATTAAATTCATTGACCAGGATTTGTTCTGCTAAACTTATCAAATACAAGCATCTATATCCTCCTTGTACTCTGTGTACAACATTCTCCGGTGTTTCCAGTACTTTTCATCTTTCTGATAGACGTTTTGTGGTTCTTTTCTATTCTTTTTCAAACATGGTGAAGACTTTCAAGGAGGAATTTCAGGTTGAGTTTTTCAAACTCGATAATGCAGAACCCAGGAATTTTGTCATTTCCAAAGTAAGTCCTATTATAAAGTATTCATCTATATTAATATACAAAAAATTAAAATTCATTTTTGTTTTCAAGTACAGTGAAAACATATATTTTTTTAAAACTTGAAAAAAACTTCAATTATTCTAAAACATTTCAAAATAATCTTATTAAATAGATGTTTAACTTATTGTTAACTCAGTCTGTTTTTTTTTTTTTATTTACAGAATTTAACTGTAGCTATCTCTAAAATTAGAGGAAAGTGCAGAAGCTAAATCTTAAAATAACTGCCGTATCATATTATCTACCATTTTTTTTTTCATTTAAAATACTAACCAGATGAATTCTCTTTTTCTAGTTGATGCACATGCTTTTCTATCCAATATGGACAGTGATCTGGGCCGTATTTCATTTACTTAATTTGCTCTTGATGCCATACTATAGAATAGACCTAGCACCGTATCCTGAACCATGGCCATTTTACCTTTCTAACTGGGCCTGTCTCATTCTTGCTGTTCATGCGGTATTAGACTGTGTAATTACTTTCTACATCTTTCTGAAAAAGCAGCCACTTCTGGTCCCTGATCCAGGTAAGAGAATATAACAGCAACATCATCATCTTAAAAAAAAAAAAAAAAAAAAAAAAAAAAGAAACAATAATAATGATGTCATAAAATCTTGAAGTTAATTATATGAATAACATAAAACACATATAGCACATATTACTTACACATCAACTTTTCAAAGACAATTACATATTTTTATAAAGCAAAACAGTAATATTATTCAGAGTTTTTATAATTTTGATAATTGATAATAGTTTATGTGTATATAAGCTTGTATCTACGTGATATGGATTTAAAACCAGAACTGATTATAAAATGTTATATTACAGCTGGTTTGATGAACACCCCCTGGTATGAGAAGCTACTGTGGGTGACATACAACATCACAAACGTTACAACTCTGACGATGACACTTCTACTTGGATCTCTTGTTACTTACCGTAAGACATACCACTGAAACACTCACAGTTTTCTATAGAAGATATTAATTCGATTCCCTTTAGGTCTATTGCAACCAATCGCAAAAATGAATCTTTAATATGCAAGTTATTAAAAGTCAGTACAAAATATTATAAATTACAAGAGTTTTAAAAGCCTTTGATTTATGTTTAAAAAATAATAAATTTGATAATTTTATGATTTTTTGATGTTTTTTTTATTTTTATATGTAACGTCCCTTCAAGAATTTTTCACTCATATTGAGATGCCACCATTTAATGGTGGAGGGCTGCAAATTTAGGCCTGTACTCGGCACTTAGGGCCTTTAGTTATGAGGGATCTTTTCGTGCCAGCACCTTCTGCAACAAAGAACCTCTATTTAAACAATCTCATTCGAAGGATTGATCTCCGCCTTGCACAGTGGATTCTAACCCGCGACGTAAGGATCAACTCCTTACACCGCGATTCTAGAGCAAACGCTCTAACCACTGCGCCACGCGGATGAAAGCACTGTTTATGGCATTTATCTTTGGGATCATTTATTTCTGCGAGAAAAAAAAAAATATCGAATTTAATTCATTTAATAAAAAAATAATATAATGTAAAAGTAAATTGGTTGTCTCATTTTTCAATAAAAGAATAATTATAGAGACAAAAACTTTTTTACAGGTGCTGACGCTCCAAGTATTCTGATACAAATATTCAGCTCCTTCTACGTCATCGCTAATATTATAATCGGAGGCAAGGAAACAAGGATTTTGCATGCCTACCAACCAATGGCATATCTGTTCCTTTACATCCTGTTCAATTTGATTTACTCGGCAGCTTCCGGTAACGCAATTTATCCAACTATGGATTGGGCGAAGACGCCTGGATATGGAATCCTCTGGCTTCTTTGTATCCTCCTGTTAATTGCACCCCTGATTCATCTTCTTGTTTATGGTATTTATAGACTCCGAGAATTCATTGTTGAGAAGTGTAAGAAAGATGACGTACCTGTCTAAAATACTTCTGAAACTATTCCCACGACAAATACTAGACCTGTTTGCTTATAATTGTTAATCAATTAAACCTGTCAGTCATATCTGAACATTCCATACACTAATAATGTATAAAATTTTAAAACAATAAATAAATAAATAAAATAGAAAAATAAATGAAAGGATGTTTCAGACTGTCTTGTAGTGTTTTTGATTTTTGTTGATGGCATATATTACCTCAAGAAAATCTGTATATGAAGAAAATACCATTGCATTCTAGATTTGTTTTAAAATACCAGTGGGTATGCAATGAAACATTGTTATGTTATTTCTTACAAACTTAATTATTAATGAAATAAATGCAGACAAGCAGTGAAGATTAACAAGTTTTTGTAGATTTTAAAGAAATATTTTTTTTTCAATATTGATTTGTTACGTTTGAGTATGTCACAAAAAGTCATTTCTTCTGAGTGTTGCATAATAGAAGATGATCTTAAATTAAATGAATTGAATCAAACAAATAAATCTTTTTAAAAAAAATGTACATAGAAATGATTAAAGTGTGTTTATTCTGTGTGTTCTTCCTATAAGATAACAATTTCAAATTAATAATAATATTATATTATTTATTTGAAAAATGATGTTGTTTACTTGTTATGTCGGCAAATGAAAATCTTTTTAAGAATCAATACATTTGCCTAAGTGATACGTTGGCACTTTGCCATCAACCTATGGTGTACAGTAATGCAAAGTGAACTAAAATACATGCAATAACAATTAAATATGTTCGAATAACTCCTTGATCAGGACTAATTGATAAAAAGTATAAACACCTTATATAAAGAAAAAAAACAACAACATTTGATATGGTATATGGGTTTAATATCACGGGAATATGATGCTGCATATCAATTTAAACTAGACACCTATAATCAGTTGTGTTTTAAATACAAGTAAATATATCTTGAAAATTTAGCAACCCTTTTTAACATATAACCTACATGTAATCTCTATTCCTTGACTGAAGGTACATTTAATATAACTGAAATTTTAAAATACCGCGAAATAATTCATCCACACAGTACATCATCTTCATTGATTAGAAGTCTTGGGAGTTCATCAATACGAAAGACAGACTTTTGTTAACTTTTGATTTGGCTTTTAACTTTATTTTCCACCCGATAAATAGTCGCTTTTTTTCCAGATGTGATTTTCTTTGACAGTTACTCTGTAAATAGTTAAAGATTATTTCTGCTCCCTCCAAAATTTAAGGAAAAAATACTAGTAGTTTAATAATGTTTCATTTTGAAATAATACCAATATTATTTCTTTTTATTTGTTATTTTGATATTAAAAGAATATAAGATTTAGTTTGGGAGATCCAATTACAAGAAGGTTTAATGGGCAAAATTCTGAATCATCTTTAGAATAGAAAGGTACACCGATTGCATGTCATTGATCATGGCAGAACGTCAGCAAAAAGTATAAACTGCTACTTAACTCTCAAGGAAGAAGTGCATTAAGATTCAACATCCCTCTGTTAATGTATGTAAAATTTTATTTAAGAAGGCTGGGGGGTTGTGGCCATTTTCAGACTATATTGATCTCCTTTAGAAGAAGAGCTCAATATAAAGATATACAAAAATGATCAAATTTTAAAACTAAAATTTATGAAATTTTTCTTTGCCAAATGAAAGTTGACAGCTTAATATATCATTCCTAAAAAATTAAGTTATATCTGATGATTAATTTGTTGACCCCCCAGCCTCCTTAAATCCTAATGAATTTCCAAAAGGAATTCAATTTATAAATGAAATACAGACACTTTCAGCATAGATTGCGGGGATACAAGAATTGACAGAAATTGGTTTATTAACTTGACAGTCTTATAAATAATAGCTATTTATCCCGATGATACTCATCTCTCTTATCAAAGGGTCAATGAATCCTTAAAGATTAAGATAAAGCATTAACAGGTGGTCAACTATGTTCAGCATTTCAAGCTGAAAATCATTTTGAAATGATTTTTTTAGTATGTATAGATGAACAAGGGCCGTAATTTCATCTGTGTAAACTGCAAGGAAATGCATCGGGGATGAAACAAAGCATTTGCAATAAATATGATATAAAGGGCTATAAAATTGCAAAGTATTTTCATTTTAATCGTATTAAAATATTTTATTTTTATATCGAATTATCAATGGAATATAGGATTAGATGTATTTTTCCAATAGAAAAAAGTGTAGTGCTTTAAGACATTGAAGACTCAAACTATTGCAGAAAAGATCGATGTAAGAAACTTATACTTGATGAGGTTATCGATAAGTGTGCTGCACTTAACTTTACGAAAGGCCAAGGGCACTTACCTGTAATAAAACATGTAGATAGCCCATGGTGACCAGTCAAATCTGATCTATAACTTCGCCGAATGTAGCTTACGGTTGTTATCGTTTCATGGTGTTACTTTGAGCTGGCTAAAGGTAAGTAATTTACTGTTATGTTAGGTTAAAGAAAAAAAATCCACGTTAAAAAATAAAGTAAACAGATATGTTTGTATTTGATAAATATTACAATAAAGAATGACATATATAACAAGCATGTATATAAAAAAATGGGTTATCTCATCAGTCACATAGGTTACTCAAAGGCCCAATTTTTTTTACCGTACGGTTACCTGAGCAGATGGAGTGGTCTTAGTTGTACTGGTATTATTTACCTGGAGGGCCCCAATACTAAAAATGTAAAAAATCCGTATACACATTGTAGTACACAGGAAGTCTGTCTTTGGTAATCAGGATCAACATTACGCGTTTTTGTCTAATTTTGAGAGAAACTAATGTAAATAATTTTTATATTTTAATATAAAATTGGTTTTCATCGATATCTTTTGAAGGAAAAAAAATTATAAAGAAATATGATAATCTTTTTTTTTTAAGAAAAAAAAAGTAAATGAAAACCACGAGTGAAAACTACAAAGCAATCATATCAATATTTTTTTAATTGTCAGTAAAAGAAATCATCATTCAATAAGTGTAAATATTGAAATAAAGAGATTTCATTTATCGTGTGCACAATCCGACATGTGCCATAACCAGAATATTATTTATTTTTCTGGCCAACAATCGTGTCCAAAGTATTCACCAATGCAATTTCCGGGGTCCGTTTTTTTATGCCCTGTTCACAGATTTGTATTGTTTGTAGACTTTTTATAAAAGATCGATCACTGTTCATTATCTTCACCCTTTTCATTATACGAATATATACGTTAGAGGAAATTCGAACAGTGATTGTGACAGTTGAGTTGTCTTGGACGTCATATCGCTTACAACATGTACAGGTACCAAAGAACAATGGAGATTGAAAAAATTAATCATAAAGTCAATGTTTAATTATCTACTCTAAATTATTTTTTTGAAATATAATTACCAAACAATATTACAGCGATTTGATTTTTTTTTACCAGAGTGTATACATCTGGTCATGCGGTTCATGAAAGCGTTTTACGCGTGACCAGATAATTGTTTCCCAAACATACAAACTCAGATTATCAGGAAGCACAGGTAGATGGCCTGTCAATCAAATCAGTAGCTTTTTGTTTTTTTTAATGATTGACGGGCGGTATATTATTGATCTCGAATTAAGTAAATTTTGGGGGCGTTAACGTAAAATTGGGTGTTTAACCGTTATGCTAAGATCACTGCAACTGTAGAAATGTTTCTAGCTCCAGCCTTTTTTCAAGAATGTATATTAATCTAAGCCCGTGTCTTCTACATATTATGCAGGATTTATCATTTCACCTGGGATGGGCCATATATTTGCATGTTATGTTTCTCTATAAAAAAAATGACTATATAATTATTGGTCTCTGCAATCATATACGAATAAGCCCCTTACCATATTAGGAGAAAACTGCATATGGTCGGCCCATTTAACTATAATGTACTAATTTATACCTTTAGATGCCTTATTCATGCAGTAACATCTATCGTAGAGGCAAGCTCTATACGCGTGCTAAAGGTATTTGAATTCCAGAAACAGTAGTTACTGTTTTAAAGCCTTATTCAGAACGGACAGTGAACTGCTTATGTCTGAAGTCTTATTCCTTCAGTCATTTTGGGAGGGAACGACAAAAAATTAAGCAAACCCCCATGAAGTCAACTTTTAACTTTTAAATTAATTTATAACTCATCAAGCAAAGGGATAAAGAGGTTGTTTAATTAGTTACAGATTACACCCTTTGACTAGGTGGAAATAACAAGTGTGAATAAATGAACTGTACCTACATTTTTTTCCAGCAATTTCCCACTCAATATTTAATTCAATGTTAAAAATTACTTGATATGTAAATCACTTTACAGCAACTACGATCATCATCAACAACGACGTCGACAGAGAAAGGCAATTTGTCTAAAAACCAAGACTCAAATGGAAGTGCAACCAGAATCCTTATAAAACAATCGTCTGCAGTTCTAAATCGGCATCATGTTGGAATATATTCTTACAGTTTTTATTGTGATTATGTGTGGATATATTGTCGTTAAAAATTTTGTTTTTAAAACAGAGAGCCCGCAGCCCCCAGGACCAAAAGGATGGCCAATAGTAGGGGTAGTGTTTGAGGTTGATATTTCAAAACTTCAGCTTAAACTTTACGAATGGGCGCAAATGTACGGCGATGTTTTCCAATTTAATTTATTAGGCCAAAAATTTGTCTGTATAAATTCAATAGATATCAATAGAGACTTGTTTCTGAAAGAACCAAATGCCACTATTACTGCAGATCGTCCATTAACATTTACCGGTAAATATGCTTACGATGATTATGCGGATGTAGGATTTTCATCACCAAGTGTACTTTGGACAAAACGTAGGAAACTTGCGTTTCAACTTCTACATAGGTATGGAAAGGGATTAACTTGCTTGGAAAGTCAAATATTAAAAAATCTACAGACATTCAAAGATGATATTCGGTCTTTATCTGGAAAGAATATTTTCCCTGTCGACTTCGTCGATGACTTTATTTTCAGCACCGTTGAAGTATTGGTAAGAATTAATGAACATACAATGTTATAATTCAAGGAAATTGGAAGCATATTACATTTTTGATCATGTCTGTTACTGTTTGCCCCAGTGAATGGGTTTATTTGGAAATTTTCGTGCTCTCGTGGATCATTTGTCTAATATAATTTCAACGTAAGTTACCTGATATTGAACAGAACTAAGATATGCATGGAATAACATGCAAGCACTGCTTTTAGTGTTTCTAACAGTTCAGGTTAGAAATGCTGAAAGCAGATACTATCTTGCTGATTTGAATTAGTTTATAATAAATAGTGTTGTTAAAGATAGGTTATATCTAATTAGTTAAGTAAACTCTAAAGACAGAAGATTTTTTTAAAGACTTCATCAGTCAAAACAGAGGTGGGAAGATATACTAGAAACAGTAAATCTCCTACAGTAGCATTCTAAATAAATTTTATATTTTACCATAATTTTCAGGTTAAACACCTTTAATTTTAAAACTTGCAATTATAGATATCGTTGTTTTATTAAAGGGAAACTTTTTAAATTTTCAACAGATAATTGGTCGCAGTTTTGGAAAAGAGGGTCCCCTGCGCAATCTTCTAATAAAACAGAATGATTTGCTGAACGAGGTTGCAAACCCAGGAACAGATTCAATCTACGCTGTGTTTCATTTTCTACGATTTTTGCCTCTGCCTGGATCATTGGCTTTGCGCGAACTTAAAAAATCCCAAAGTTGTCTGTTGGATTTATTAGATACGTTATCGGTAATGTATTAATCAAAACTTTACTTAATAAACTTTTATATGTACTTATATACAGCGTACAGTACCAACCAGACCCCACCTGACACCAAAGCAATCCCAGAAAGCAGTCCCCGGGACTGCTTTGGGACCGCTCTGGGACTGCTGTGGGACTGCTCTGGGACCGCTGTGGGACTGCTCTGGGACCGCTATAGGACTGCTCTGGGACTGCTGTGGGACTGCTCCAGAAAGCAGACCCAGCAGTCCCAGTAGTCCCTGGGACTGCTTTCTGGGACTGCTTTGTTCATCCATGCGTGAAAAAGGTTCTGAGTGACATGATAGCTCCGCCCCTTGTGTATTCTGAATTTGCAGCTCCTTGTTGTTGTTTTGTTTACTTTCTGCAGAGAGGTGTTTAAGATAAAAACAAATATTAGGAAAAAAAAAAAAAAAAAAAAAAAAAAAAAAAAAAAAAAAAAAAAAAAACAAGTATTAATTTCTTACAAAAATTAAATAAATAGAGATAGTTATACATGTAATTACTAAATGTCTTAAGAGGGCTGTAAATTTACACAATTGTAGTCTAGAATTAATTTTAAGAAAATAAAAGTAGTTAAAAAGGGAAGTCAGGGGATGATTTTTATCCCTTAAATTAAACTTCAATACAGGTGTTTGAAAAAAAAAAATTATCTAGGCCTATTTAATAAATAAATGCTGTCAAATTACATATGTACTCAAAGTTTGCATTAGCACTATTTAAAAACAAACAAACTTGTCAATTTAGTAAGATACATGTATTCAGAGACTGTACTGGATTTTTTTTTCTTAATTGAAAAAGCTAATACCATGCTTAAAAAAAGAGCACTTCATGCTATTTTTTACCACCCTCAAATAAAACCTAATAATTTATTTAATGACCATGAAATCAAATTATTCTACCATTCTTCTGTCACATAAACAATGTGAAAAATTATTCGGGGATTTATTTATGAATTAGTTTTTAATTTATAAACAAGTTATTAAAAAGAGTACATTTAAAAAATAAACATTTGAAAATATCAGGAATTGTGACTTGTTTCTTATCTCTTTTGTTTGTGTTTACCTGGCCGGTTAATACAGTGGGATTGTATAAAATGGTGTCAACACCTGAGGTTTCAATCGCCTTTGGGCATAATTAGCAGAAAGTCAGTGCATGTTGTTTGGGTATCAGTGTTACACATCATTGAACACGCTGGTCAACATTGACACTAATTTCAATCTAAGTCCTGCAAAAAATCTTAGTTTCAATAATTGTGTATAAATTTATTTCGGGATTAATTAATTTTGAACATAATCTGAGGGTTCAATTTGCGTGATTTACAGATGTACACTCGAACATTTATATAATAACACACTTAAAACTGAGAATCTAAAGATTATAATTGGAAGTCATGGAAAATAATCATGACTGAAATATAATACTCGGCAATGTTTAACAAAGAATTTTTCAAAAGCTCCAATACTTAAGAAAAATGCATTCAGAATATAGTATGGGAATCGGCCTTGCTCTATAATTATTATTATCTATTTAAAGCTAATTCTGGTATAAAATAAACAATTCAAGTTTAATTTTCTATATATAAAAAAAAATTAATATGAAAATTAACCAATATCAATCACAAAAAATAAAGAAATTGCTTTATTTTGGTTAAAAATTAATATACCAAATAATTGTGTTTAAATATTCATGTTATTAATAGATGTGAACGTCTTCTTCATTCAGTAATTATAATTTGTTTCTATACGTGTTTCTGTGATTTTCTTAACAGTTCAGAAATGACTGTCGTGTAAGAATTGTAAATATTTGTTGATACTACTCAGAAAGAATTGCTTATCAATTTCAACTGCCTTTTATATAGTTACATTGTTTATTGGTAATCTCATTCTGAGTAAGCTCCGCCCATTAAATTAATTAACCTCGCCCACTGAGACTGCTGGGACTGCTTTCTGGGACTGCCGGGACTGCTTTCTGGGACCGCTTGGACCGCTGTGGGACTGCTATGGGACTGCTATGGGACCACTTCGGGACTGCTCTGGGACCGCTGTGGGACTGCTTAAGCAGTCCCAGAAAGCAGTCCCCGGGACTGCTCTGGGACTGCTTTGTGTCAGGTTGGATCTGGTTGGTACTGTAAATCAATACTGTTTTGGCCGCCTGGTCTTATTCAGTAAGTGACAGTGACTAAGATTAAATTTTGGAAGCTCTGTAATTTCTTTGTTTATTAAAGATATTTGTCCATGGAATTCTTCACAATATATTCCAATGAAGTAGAAAAATATGACTTTTTGTGTCCCACTTAGGCTCCGGTATTTTTGGAGCATTGAAACATTTTTGTCTTACCGCGGTAGGTATAAGATATCTTGTGAAAGGACCCCAAAGGTACACAGAGTACAAAACTGTAAATATTACCAACAGAGAATAGGTTAAACCCAAGAAAAGGACTAAATATCCAGCAATGTCCTGAATTATAATATTAATTGCATACGCAAGGGGTTGGGTTGTTTTTCTGCTATTTTTGACATAAAAAATAAATCAATTGCACGATTAGTTGAATCACTATACATACAGCAGTATACTTTAATGAGGCTGGGCGGACAACGAAGTATCCGACAGATTCATATATAAAAATATGAAATATGATTTTCTAGCCTTATGCTATTATTTAATAAAGAAAAACTATGTGTTCCAGCTTAATATTTAATGTAATATCCTATATTTTTATACAGAAGTTTTATTTTGGAGGTTTGAATAGTCTGTAAATGTTCATAACCACTCAGACCTCTTAAAGTACGAGGGGTGATCAAAAGGTAAGCAAACTAATTGAATAACTTCCATAAAAAAAATCAAGCTTGGTTTCAGTGTTTATTCTCTTTTTTTTTAAAAGACCCCTCTTGTTTTAGTATTCACATACCATCGTTCTGCCAATGCACGAAACACATGGTCCAGATGGTCATGTAACATGCTCCGCAGCGTACTGTTCAAAGCAGCCCCAAAATTTACCACGCAGGTTAATTTTATAACAAGAATAACCCATATGTCACAAATTGCCAAATCTCGGCCATATGATGGTTGGATTAGGATTTCTTTTCCCATTATTAGCATGGTGTCCATCACAACCAGACTCCTCTTCGATGCGTCGTGTTTCTAGTGTGGATCAAGAATGGGCCCTTTCCCTTTATCATACCTGATTTGTTAACAGTCTAAAGAAACTGAAATTTTAGTGGATTTGGATTTTTTTATCGTTAAGATATACAACTATTTCTCTAACTGTGATTCGACGATCCTTTATTACAAATTCCTCACCTAAGGACACATCTCTTTCCAAACTCACTTTCACCGCACACCAACACGAGCATCATATCTAACCATTTCCCCTCCTTCATAAAACAATACATCCAATTACTAACTGAATTTTTGGCACGTTTTTTCACAATAAACCTTGTACAAATCGTTATGAATTATAGCAATCAATTTTCAAAGATTTAAGTAAAACTTAAAAGCTGTTCCTTACTCGAGCACGACTGAGTCAGCCATTTTAGGTCACATGTCATCTAGATATTGACGACATTTTCACATCGTACATGTTACGTCATAAACAAGTAGCAAAATATTACGTAACACATACTATTTATAGAACATGTTTATAAATATATATATGCCAAATTTCATTCTGATCTGAGTTGTGTTTATTTAGACACAGAGATAGTTCACGAACCTTTTGATCACCCTTCGTGATTGTTAAAAGTAAATATCCTTTATTACTTTAAAATTTTGACGAATTATATGTTTGTTTTATCTATCAAAGTTTTTCCTTTACTCCAAAGAAACTATTTTTTAAATTAGCATATGAACTTATTTTTTTTTAAATAACCCAAATAAACTCCTAAAATATGATTATTGGATTCTTTTAAGAAAGAAGAATGCAAAGAAAAGGGAATATATCACACAATGAAGGAAGTAATGGAAGAAGAAGACAAGAGCGGGAAACCCTGGTTCACAGAAGTTAATCTGGCGGCATTATTACTGAACCTTGTTACAGCCAGTAAGTGTTAAAAATTGTCATGTAAATATATGAAGGTCGTAGGTGCAATTTTATATGTTCCGCTCTCAGCATGAACATTTGGCAAATGCATTAACGGACAAAACTTAGAGCTATGAGAGAGCATAAATAGGGTGAATAAAACGTGACATAAAGGACAGCAAGAAAACGTTGATCAATCTACGCTGTGTTTTAAACGATGACCATATAAGGTAAACAGAATATGGATGAAACAATTGATTTCCCCTAATAGTATGCTTTTATCAAGACTTATGTATATGGACTTTTTTTTATCATATGTGTAAGACTCCAAAGTCCAATGATGACGCCAAAGTCCGATGGTCTCGCCAAACCCTGATGGTCTGCGCCAAACCCCGATGGTTTGATGTCGGTACGGACGCCAAAGTCCGATGGTTACGCCAAAGTCCGATGGCTCGTTTCCAATGAGACGCGCTGCGCTAAAGTGCGATGGTATGACACGCCAAAGTCCGATGGTGCGGAGAAACAATCAACGTTTATGACGTAACAATAATCCGACGTCAATCCTTGACGCCGTTGTCCTGCATTCGAAAGCCATCAGTTCAGCATTCGTACTTGCATACAATTGTACTGATTTTGCTTATTGCTTGCACCCACCAGAGATATTTGGGTTAGTCCTCGCACACCACACGACCGATTAGGGTTAGTCCTTGCTTCGCACCATCCCGAGAGATTTAGGGTTAGTCCTCGCACACTAGTCGAGTGATAAGGGTTAGTCTCGCACCCACACAAGATATCTAGGTTATAGTTGTTACACACTTTTCGAAGGATTAGGGTTAGTTTCGCACCTATCCGAGAGATTACGGTTAGTTTTCGCATAATGATATTTATTTACACTTATTTTTAAGACCTTGGCATGGCGCGGCATTGCAGTTTGGCGCAGCAGTACTTTGACGTCACAAACGTCAATCGTTTTTCCGCACCATCGGACTTTGGCGTGTCAAACCATCGGGGTTTGGCGCAGACCATCGGACTTTGGCGTGACCATCGGACTTTGGAGTCCCATCGCACTTTGGAGTCCTACATATGTACATCGTAAAATTAGAGTCATGATTAACTTTCTTTTAAAACGAAAAACAAAATGTTCGATTTGCTTGAATAAGAAATTTAGAGAAGCTTATTTTATTAAATTTCATTAAATATTATACTTCTACCATCACAACTCATAGATGGTCATTTGGCCTCTGGTTATGTTCTATTATTTCATTCTATTTTCTGGTTATAAAATTGCAAGAACATTTGGACGTGCAAAAGGTTGCTGGGTGGATAGGATATTTAAAGTATTTGAAATTCACACGAACGTAGAAATAAAGCGACTTTTACAGTTCTCGCATTATTACAAGTTTCCTGACAACTAGGGGAACACTTCTGTCACTGGTACATATACTTGCTAAGAGACCAGAACTTCAGAAAACACTACAAAAAGAAGTAGACGATGTCATAGGAACAGATCGGGAACCTAGACTGTCTGACAGAGAGAATTGTCCTACGCTCGAAGCCGTTATCTTGGAAACTTTGCGATACATTTCCCACTTACCAGTCTTTGTTTTTCACTCTAGCTCCGATTCTGTGACAATTGGTGATTATACAGTAGATAGAAATACAGTGGTAAGAAGATTTTGAATAACGTATTATGAGTTAATCTTATATCATTTTTTAAAAATATGACTGAATTACTGTTACATTGAATTCGTAGAATAAATTGTGTATTTTACATTATCCACAGTATTAAAAAAAATTTAATATAGTTACAAATACAAAGATAATGCTGTAAAATACTGAAATATATGGAATGGTAATGTACCTGATAAATTTTTAAGAGCTCAAGATATTTTCATTACGTAAAGATTGATGCAAAGATTTGAGTTTTGTAAACTTTAAGTTATAAAAATTACTTTTAAATATAAACTGTTATGGCTTAAATTAAATTGCGAGGGTCCTTCTAAAATACGTACATGTAGAAAATGTCCCCCTAAATCATGTTATTATTAAGAGTAACACGTTTTAATATGTAAAAAAGACATTTATTTTGTCAATGCGTAAAGTTTCATTCCATTTGATGAAATGGAACTCATGTTTCTTAATTTTAAAATCATCATGTTTTGTCACCACTGAGCACTGTTCACAACATTGTAACGTCAAAAACATCGTTGTGAAAGTTTCTCAAGCTCCTTCTTCATTTCTAAAAGAATCTGTAGTGCATACCCATTCATCAAAATGGTCTCCATAATACTTGACACTTAAATTTGCTAACAATTATTCGAGTAGCATATATTTAGTTTGTCAGTGTTCTCAAATTCTTTACGGCGTAACTCTACTTTCACAAGTTCTGCAACTGTAAAAGTGCATGTCACTTTCAATGCCGTTACACACTTTTTTGACCAGATGTTTACTTATAATCTGTTTATTGACAGACTGTCCATCGTCCCATTCAAATCTCTGCCACTCAAAAACTGGCATTTATATACAAATGTGCGGCTAACTTTTGATATGTTTCTTGGTTCCTCAAGCATTTTCAGAGTTGATTTCAGAGGTTTCCTTCTCGCTGCCGCGTGACGTCCTACGACATCTTTTTGCGCTTTTTTTTTCAATGAGGACTATTTGTCTTCGAAATTGATTTCATTTCAACGAGTCAATATATTACATCACAATTTGATCTGTGAAATGATGTAACAAAATTATTATAGTATTATAGCGCTATTATTTGAGATATGACTATAGAAATTATACAGTATTTTGTTACCGAATTATTCAATTATAATAACCGTGCTGCGACACCCCATTTTCGTTGTCGTTAAAGATATTTTTTAAAATAATTTTTTTGATTCAAATTATTTTATTTGTTAAAATATGTCTACCAACTTTGGTTAGAATATTTCCTCAAATAAAAAATTATGACAGAAGTATTTTGAATGACTCTCGTATATCTTCTTACAGATTATTCCTAATGGATGGACAATGCACCACAGTGAAAAATACTGGGAGGATCCTTTCACCTTTAGACACGAACGATTTCTAGACAGCGAAGGCCAATTATTGGCCGCTACCCATCCTATCAGGAAGAGGTATTTTCAGCAGGAAGCACAGAACTCTGGGAAAAAGATCATTAGTCTAAATCTGCCATCCGATCCCGATCAATTATTATATATTCACACGTATTGAGTAGAATGTTAAAATTAACTTTCTTTTGTATGAACAGTTCTGAAAATATGCTAGATGTAAAGCAATAGTGTTTATTGCCGTCGTTTGATTGATTGATTATTATTGTTTTACGCCGAGTCGGCAATATTTCAGCCATATTTCGGCGGTTTGCCGTCGTTTGAGATTCATAATTAACTACAAATTTCCTCTGCAAAACATGTATAAACTGTACTCTGAAACTACAGTTCAGACTTTAAATACAGTCAGATTAGTGAGGAATGAGTTTATGAATGTTTTCCCCCATACATTATTCATCATTCTCAAATTGTATATGACAGTATATTCGTAATAAATGCTTTCTGAAAGATAACAAAATGAGACGCATAATTACAGTATATGAACCTAGTTTCTAAATAACTTTGAATTCAAATTAAACCTTTCATTTTAAAAGCAAGCTTGTATAAAATGTTCAATATTTCATCTCAAGGAAACAGTGCATATTTTATTTCACCATAAAATATTCTTCAATGTAAGCTCCTTAAGAACTACGCACGCTAACTCTCGATTCCCGCCTACATTTTACACCAATTTAATTCAATATTAATAGCAATTTGACCGTAAAATCTTTGTTGGGTGCAAAGAACAGTTCAATGATAACTGACTGATAATTTTAATGACAGTGTTAAATAGTTAATTACACCTAATTCCAGCTCTTAGAATAAGGGGGGTAGACGATATTTTCCATTGAAATCGGGCTTTAAAGCATCAACACATTTTAAAATTTTCTTGGATATGAATAAATGTTCCTTATATCTTTTCTTATGTTTTACGCATATAAAATTAAACATATATTATTAATAAAATACAATGTTTTAGTTGTAAAACTCTTTGGAATTGGTGAAAAAGTAAGCATTTTTTAGTTTTTTGTCTGTAAACATATGTTCCCCTCGTGAAACACAAAAAGCTTAGGTATGAATTTGAATTTGTGAAATGACAGTCCATATTACCTGTAAAAAGGAATTTTTGTTTCATGGGGGGGGGGGGATGTCTTAAAAATATTTTCTGTTTTCCGTTGATTTCTATAGTGAAAAAACACAAGTTTTACCTAAACTTTAGAGTTATCTCTCTTTATTTTCCCAAAGAAGTAATGTTTTATGAAAATTCATATGAATATCTATATAAATATCAAAAATCATTCAAATGTGTTAACTTGAAGGTAGGCGGGAGAACAATGCTATCGTTCGCAGTTCTTTAATATGAATACAGTTAACTTTACTCTTTGTTTTATTCCAGGTTGGTGGCATTCGGACTAGGCAAAAGAAGTTGTATCGGCGAAGTATTTGCAAAATCCCGTATCTTTCTTTTCTTATCTACTTTGATGCAAACAATAACGATAGTTGAACCTGAAGGAAAACCCTTACCAGACCTCGATCCCAGGGAGATGATTCCAGGACTTGTCTTACAAGCACAACCATTCAAAGTTCGTTTTTTACTGCGAAATAATGAAGGGTGACCTCGTAGATTTCATAGTGGGAAATATACGATGAATTGTAAAACATTATAAATACACGCTTTGAAAATATCAAAAGATTAATCATATAATTGTCTGATTTATACATGTACATACAGCAAACAGCATAGAAGCAAGTACATGAATCGTGTTTTTGTTGTTTTTGTGTTGTGTGTTTTTATTTCTTTGTTAATATTATTAGACAAATTTAAGTATTTTTAAAAACAAGATTTTGTACTTATCCTACAATAAAAGCATGTTTTTTATGGTGTAGTGACTTTTGTTTCATATTACACTATCAGTACCCTTTGCGAAAACAGCTGACTCAAAATTGATAAATACTATAACACTGTACCCTAAGAATTAAGTCTTAAGATCACTGAATTTTTTTCTTCTGTTTCACTTCACCTTCCAGACGAAGTTTGTATTTATATATATACCAAGTATGTTTCAGTAGTCGATATATAATTTTCTCGTAAGAATGATTTATTTTCAGGCACTTTAAAACGAAATATTTTATGCTTATAATGAAATTCTCTTTGTAAAGAGGCCTTCTCGTTTAATGATGAAATAATATAACTTTTCAAGGTGTAGTCGTAATATATATAACGTGTACGAGGGGTGATCAAAAAGTTCGCGAACTAACCCTATATTTACAAAACCACAATTCAGATCAAAATGAAATTTGGCACATATATAGTCATATACATGTTCTATAAATAGTAGATGTCATGTTAAGTTTTGCTACATGTTCGTGACGTCACAATGTGAAAATAACGTCAATATGTAGATGACTTGTGACAAAATATGGTTGACTCCGTTTAATTCAAGGAACAAACATCTGTAAAGTTTAATGTATATCTTGGATTCTCCTTTGCAGTAGCATATAATAATTTGTACAAGGTTTATGAAGACAAAAGATTTGCCAGAAGTTTAATCATTAATTTGATTGATTGTTTTAGTGAAGGAAGGGAGATAGTTAAAAATGATGTTTGTTCTTTTGCCCAGTGAAAGCGAGCTGGGGAAGAGATGTGTCCTTAGTTGAGCAATTTGTTATGAAAGATCGCCAAGTAAAAGTTAGAAAAATAGTTGAATATCTTAACAATAATATAATTATCAAATCCCTAATACGTCGTTTACTTTAGACTTTAAACATATCAGATATGACAAAAAGAAGGCGTCCATACTTTATCCACATTGGATAAACGACGCTCCCAAGACAGAGGAGTCGGGTTGTGATGGTCACCATGCTCATTCTGGGAAAGGATATTCTTCATCACCCATCCTATTGTCGAGATTTCGCCATTTCTGACAAATGGACTGTTCTTGTTATAAAAAAAACTTGCATGGTAAAAAATATAAGACTCGAAAAAATGTTTTAGCTTTTGTGAACAGAACGCTACGGAGCATGTCACGTGACCACCTGGATCACGTGATTCGCGCATGGGCAGAACAGTGGCAGATGTGCATTAAAATTGGAGAGGACTACTTTAAAAAAAATGAACACTGAAATTTAATTTTTTTTTTCTTATATCGAAGTAATTCAATTAGTTCGCGAACTTTTTGATCACCTCTCGTAAATGTAGTTTATATAATATGCAGTAAAATTATCATTAAATAATTATGTATGTCAATATAAGGGGGACTTAAAAATTGTACCCATGTGTGCACATGTATGCCATTAAGTGGTAAAATATAAAGAGTGTCACCTCTGAACAAAGCGTTAATCTGATTATATGCATATGACCGAAAGAACACATGACATATTTGTGGCTTTAAGATTATAGGTATGTCACTTGATCAAATTGAATATAACATTAAGCATTGCCTGATATTTTAGAAAAAGGTTACATTTTTAAACATTTATTGGGATATAAATATGGGTATGTTATGCGATCAAATTTACATTGCACCATGAAGGTCTTCGGGGGTACCAACCCATATTTGTTTAAAAAGGATACCTTATTTCCTACATTTACTTTAATGACTGATTTATAACAAATGTTGTGTATTTAAGTTTTAAACCTATGAAATGTTTTATTTTTTTTTAACCTCAACGATATAAATGGAATGAACGCTTCGACTACCTATGACGTCACTGTGGAATTAATTCGATCTTTTATGATTAACTATTAACTTCTGTGACGAAACTTTCCTATACAATATAAATACGCATTGCTCAGTGTTACATACGGGAAAAAATTACAAAGATAAACATTCTCATTCGAATCAATATGCTCAAGAAACTTTGATAGTCAGAATGTTTATGATCGCAGGTAATGAATTGAAACTTAAGGAAGAAAACAGAAGAAAAAGGGGTCATCGAGAACCGAAGAAACCAATGCGTTTTATCTATCGGCTTCGTTGTCATTTGGAGTAAAAGACAAGATTTTATTTTGTTAAATATCAAATAATTCTCTAATTCTGCATAAACACATTTTACTGAATAATTAAAGTTTAAACAATTAACCTATACCTCTGTGAAAACTTTTGTTAAGGGCCTATTCACAAGAAAAAAAATGTTTCTTTAATTCATTAGCCATTAATTATGTATTAATCCTGTTAATGGCGTTTCAGCTAATAACTATCTTACGTTGAAAGTAAATAAAGAGAACAAATTTCTTTCCAATGGCATCACGAGCTAGGTAACATCTTTGAGAATTGTGATGTTAAAATACATATTAGTATTCCGCAATCCGAGTTTTTATTTTGTGTGGGGTCTTTAAAAAAAAAAAAAAAGGTGTTCTCGAGGGGGAGCCTACAGGAACCGAGGAATGATCATTACGAAGGGCATAAAAAATACTTAATGTTTTCCTCCAAAAAATTTTGGCATAGACCGAAAACATCCAAACAAGTTGTCCTAATTATTTAACAAAATTACAAGATTTTGCGTAAGCATAAAAAGATAAAACTCCTTTCTATATATTGTTTCATAATTCGTTCAAGTGATAAAAATATTCATAAGATAACGAATACTTCAGTCACTTTTTTAAGGTCATTGAAAAGTGTATCATTTGTAGGTCGTTTTAATCAGCGATCAGCAGTTTTTAAAATGCCATTATGTCACACGAAGCGATAAAGGTAAGTAGATAAGTTTGATTTTTTAGTAGTTTTTAGCCAAAACTGGAACTACTTTCACATTGTATGTACCGAATAATGAAATTCGAATACCTCTCAATTTATAGTGTCCCATTATATGCACAAAATTGTAGACCTCTACAATGTAAAATTAATTCGACCTGACAAGACTGTAGCTCTTCTGGTGAATATTTATGATACAGAAAGATCTATCTTAGTATAGTTTACTTGTGTAAAAGTCTAATCAGACCAAAATTTAGGAGGAGAAACGTTTTAAAAGAATTCAAAGAAATTACTAACTAAAGTTTCTTAACCATGGCAACACAATTTGTCAACATTGAACACCTATACGCAGAATTATGTATATTAGTGTAGTCTACCAAATGATTCTGGGTCGGATTGGCACGTAATTCGACTTCAACAAAAATGACGGGCAAATTTTTGAATGGAAATTGAGGCCCAGGAGAGCTGTTTATATCAGTTGTGGAGCATATATATAGATAAACCTTTGGAACTTGTAGTAAGCAACACTTTAGATAACAACTTATTCAGTAACCCTTGAATCGTTTGCATTTTTGCGCTATTATTATTCACGTTTTGAAAGTATTGAACTGTAGCTTTCTGGACGTCCATCTCCTTTCCTAGACAGACCAATAAGCTATATAACTTTAGCTAAGAAAAAAAAAAGAATATTTTTAAGCTTTTCAGTGCAACGTTTTCTTTTGTAGATTATGAGCTAGGACAAGGTCCGGACTCACGTTAAAACATTCAAACAACTTTTATGGTGAAAGACTGATATTTGCATTATGATTGAGTATCTTCTTTTTGTTGTAATCTTAATTTTGTGTGGAGTCATCGCCATTAAAAGCTCTAGTAAGAATACTGATGGACAGCCGCCGGGACCAAATGGATGGCCTTTAGTTGGAATAGTGTTTGACGTGGAGATTCCAAAATTACATTTAAAACTATATGAATGGACACAATTGTATGGTGATGTTTTCCAATTTAAAATATTAAACAAAAATTATCTCTGTATAAAATCAGCAGAACTATTGAGAAAAAACATTTCTCAAAGAACCAAACGCAACCATAACTGCTGATCGAACACCAACATTTTTTGGAAAATACATTCTTCATGACTATGGCGATATAGGGTCCTCGTCACCCAACGTGCGGTGGACAAAACGTAGGAAACTTTCTTATCAGCTATTTAATGCATATGGAAAAGGTCTGGGGTGTTTAGAAAGTATCATATTGAAGAATCTACAAACCTTCAAGGAAAGGATAAGGAACATTGATGAGGAGAACGTAGATCCAGTAGATATGGTCGATGAGTTTATTTTCAATTCAATTGAAGTGCTAGTAAGTTGTTGAAAATTAAGCATTTGAAGAATTCAATGTTATAATTATTTTTAAGTATTTAAGGATTTTCTTCTCTCTTTTACATAATAATTATTTTTAATATCTCTAATTATGCATAATCATCTTTTAAAGGAAATGAAAAGCACATCATTCAACAAGTGTATCGAAAAGACCTATCAAAATACCTTGTTTTCTTTATTTAATAGATAATTGGACGCAGTTTTGGTAAAGAGGGTCACTTGCAGCAACTTTTAAAAAAACAAAATAACATAGCAAATCAACTCGCCATTCCAGGAATCGATTCATTGTATGGAATATTTCCTTTTCTGCGAATTCTGCCTCTCCCAATGTCTATAACCATTCGAGAACTTAAGAGGACACAACAATGTATTATGGATCTGTTAGAAAAACTATCGGTACAGTCCATTTTACTTGAAGCACGGTAGCTTGATAATGATATTTTTATTAGATGTAGATATGTAAATCTGCATGGCAAGTAAGATTTATGCCAAGTATTCGATTAATATACGACAATTTATTTTGACAACAGTAATCATTAAACA